CAACTACTTTGCACCGTCTATTTCATGTTGAAGTGGCCGTTAACTACAGAGGACACACCCAAACTCCCAAAATATGGTGGTTATATAAACAACCTTGGGCAAAAACATTATAATTTTAAAAAGGCTGCAGTTCAAGGTAACTTCAGATAAGATAAGTGGTTTGCTGGTGTAAACTAAACTTGCAGTTATTCAATTACTTGTTATGTGAGTATTTGATCTTATAAGTGTCATGCTAAAGACGACATATTCGGCTTGTCAAAGATTTCTGTGAGCATCACATTTCATTTATATAGCAACATTCCAGTTTCTGAACTTGATATTTATCAGACCCTTTCACCTATGAAGTGAAATTAACTTGATTCGAGTTTCAGGCTAAATCAGGCAGATAGCTGTGTTTGTATGAAAGGTATTTCATAGCCTGCCAGAAGATAGATGATTTCACAATTTTGAAGCATTGCTGTGTGGAGATTAGAAATGTGGAGGTCCTTTTATCAAAATTTTGGAGTTAGCTCTTGGCATTGATCCATAATTCATTCAATGTTACGACTGAGGGTTCACTGTCAGATGTCTTTGTGCCAGTATGGTTCGTTGAAAGTCGGGACAGTAGAGATGCAAAACCTATTTTCGTCATGCATTTCTTCTAAAGTTGGAAAAAGTAATTATTCTCGATGTATATATAATTAGTGTATTTGAGAACATCGAACTTTCCGAATCCTAGTTTTCATGATAAATGAGATTTAAAGGTTTTAGTTGGAAGTAGCTCAAAATGACAGATGTCCCTTTAAAATCGCTGTTTGGTTTTCTTCTGTGCCTTTGGTGTTAGGTTTTTAAATTTGAGTCCTGTACAAACATTTAAGTACTTAAGTTTAAATGCAAATTACAGCATTTCCTGTACAAAAAAAAATATTGAAAAAAAACATGAAGGCTTGGCTAAAGTTTGTATATTTTTATCAATTCAATGTAACATTTGAAAATTCTATTCAGTTGTATAAAGCAGTCAGCTTTCAGTGAAAGATTTGTTGTGAAGATAACATGATTCCTTGTGATGTCACATCAACCTATTGACTGCTGTTTCCAGCCATACTTCCTTCAGATGTATCATATAAACCTGAAATTTCACTTCAAAGATCATTGTCCCTGTATCACATTAGGGCAAACTGAATTATGTTTCTGTTATACATACCTTATTTGGAATTGTTTTGAATTTCCATCAGAGAAATTGTGCTTGTTCAAATAAGATGGGCTTCTGTCAAATTGATAACTCTACAAAAGATGTTTTAAAACTTGGTTTGCTGATGTATACAGACAACTGCAGGGGTTTATGGGAAAAGTTTGGTCTTAAAGTGGGGCCAAAACTTGGTAGTCATTATCCACATTTAGGAAGGTTTGACAGTGTAAGTGGTTGATCCAGGATTTGTGGACAAAACAAAAGAACTGCATCCCTCCCACTGTCTGAATCCTCCACTATGGTAATTTTGTCTCGTATAATAAAAAATTAGAAAAAAAAAACAGATTTAGATGACGCATTTCTCTACAGGGATTTAAACAGAAAAATACTTGGTTTGGCCTTAGTTAAGTATCTTTAAAACATGAGAAAGTGTGTTTCTTTTTGTAACAACAAAAATGAAACGAGTTTTACATGAAGTACAGGAAGAAGGTAAACATAGGAGAGCAAGGACGCTTTGAGTCTAAACATTAAATTCATAATTTTCTTACATGTTTGTTAATGATAAAGAGATTTATGATTGAAGATGAAGTGGAAATAATCTTCTGCGAATAACTTCACTTTAGTGTAGTTACCTGTGTGTATACTTAAATGGTTGATTCCGACTCAAAGCGGTCATATTCTTGTGATCCATATACCATTATCAGTAACATAAGTACGAAACAATTGGTCCTAATTATGACTCACGTTTTTTCTAGGCTGAGTGTATCAGAAGACAAGCTAATCGTGAAATTGCTGTAAAAAGCTTCTATTTAGTGCCAAATTTCTGTCAGTTTGAGGAAGCAGAATGTTTTTGTTTCAGCAAATTTGTTTGTTTTTTGTATTGTTAACAGCCATTAGTTCATACACTAATGAAAATGTTTAAGTTCTGGTTGGATGATTAGTAGGGTTTTTTTTACAAATTTTATGGGGTGGGCTTATTGTAGGACAGTGAAAAAAGAAAGCTGTAGATGGAATTTCTGTATACATTTAAGGAAATAGTTTTGACAGAAATTATTATAGTATTATTAGATGGTAGTCATCGGGTTCAACTGAATTAATATGATGATGATGATAACTACGAAGACACGTGCTTGTTGTTATGGTACTAAATATTGTAAATATATTACGAGAGCTAGTCATAGTAGAAGAAACATAGAAAAATGACCAAATTTGGTAACAATGTGTCGTGTGTTATGGTAGTGATAATTGTTTTGAGGTGCAAGGGCTACTTGTGACTGACATCATAAGGAGTATCCTGAAATGATACTGTGTTTTTAAAACTTAATCATCGAGATCTATTCCACCCCCTCAACTCTTGAGGAACACCTGTTAATTTGCTTGTAAGAGTGGGCGGTCCATATCTCTCTAAGGTAAAATGATAGGTAAGATTCGACTATAACTGTGATTCATACTGTTTGTTACAAGTAAACAGATTTTCTTCAGTGTTTTGATCAAGTTTATTTAGTAAATACAGATATTTCATCGAGAATTTAGACATGAAAAGCAACAGTTTATGATATTCCACACACATTACTATGATACACATACATTTTGCTGTTTAAAAAACTTTTTTAAAACGAATGTAAGTTTTTTTAGACATCAGTTATAAAAGTGATCTGTCTGTGTGGGTTCATGCATGACCACTACATAATAAACAACTATTTATTATACTAATGTAACTTGAGTGATTTTACGGTATTAAAAGTACGCTTATTTAACAAATGTAGGAATTCGGTGACAAAACCGCCTTCTGTTTTCTGAATGAGTCACCATAGTTAATACTATAGAAAGTTATGTACCAGACGTATATAATTTACCTACCTAATAATTCACCTGTGTATTGATAAGGTACATGAAAGTGACTGGAAGAGAGATGCTAATTACACAATGATTGTAACAGGTGGGAGAGACAATGACCTTGAGAGTACAGTAGAGGAAGCCATGGTGTCGTCTGCTCACTGTCTGTATGTAGTATGTAAATCTGGATCAAGCGTTCCTGGTGATATTTGATACACCATTATCCTTGATATTCTAAAATCTTCAGACTGTCAGACAAACTCGGATTGGGTTTCACCCTAGAGTACATTGCTGTGACACAAAAGGCATTGTTTGAAATTACACCTGACCTACGTAATGTACATTATCATCTACTTGATGTCCGACTTGACCATGTCCAGTCACAGGTGTTCACATAAAGCTCGCTTTGAGGTGTTTTGATACACCAGAGAAACTGTTTATCTTTAGAGATGAGACCTATGTCAACACAACCAACAGACACTATGAACACTTTTGTTGGTTAACGTATTCAAATGACTAACCCTACAGTCAGGAGGGACAATTCCCTCTGTCTAGGACCACCTCTTCTACTACATACCTGTCTATAGGGACCATCCTTTCTGCTGGTGCCATGTCTAGAGTTACTATCACCTCCTCTGCTGGTATTATAAACCTGTCTAGAGGGACCATTCGTTCTGCTCATACTACATACCTGTCTAGAGGGACCATCCCTTTTACTCGTACTACATACCTGTCTAGAGGGACCATTCGTTCTGCTCATACTACATACCTGTCTAGAGGGACCATCCCTTTTACTCGTACTACATACCTGTTTAGAGGGACCATCCCTTTTGCTCATACTACATACCTGTCTAGAGAGACCATTCCTTTTACTCGTACTACATACTTGTCTAGAGGAACCATCCCTTCTGCTCGTACTACATACCTGTCTAGAGATACCTGCACCTCCTCTGCTGGTACTATATACCTGTATAGACAGCTCCACTCTTAAGTGTAATTATAAGTATAAATAGCTAAAGAGAAACTTTAATGTGTATTCATGTAGTGTACTATGAATTTGTATTTTAATATTGTCACATCAGGATCATGACCAGACAACGATATCTAGATGTATATAGGTATATGTTTATGCTGGCAAAAATTTAGCTGACGGTGCTGAGAGGCAGCCTGTGGATTACAATACACTGATGTTGTGTATAACTTGTGTACTGCTTACACATACAGCAAGGATCATACTCAACACTAACCACATACCTGTGTGAATCCATATTTTCTCGTTAAGAAATTATGCACCTATTTGTTCTTACATGCCTGTCGGTCCGTCTTTGGCATTACGTCATGAACTACCTGTTCAATTTTCATGCTAAAATTTTTATTTGCCTAAAGAAAGTATTTTTCACTTGTAAGGCATTAGGTACCATTTGACTCATACCTCTGATATGTAGGAATCTACTTGCTTTGTAGGTTAGATGTACAGTCAGTGGAATGAGGTTGAGTGGGTGAGTGGGTGGGGTTACCTAACTATTAATACCCAAATATGGAAGCTTTTCTAGTTGGTAGATATACCTGATAAAGTTGTTGAATGTTGATAATTAATGTTCTGGAGTTATAATCAACATTCAGACTCATTTTCAGAGTAAATGTTGTTAAAGATAATTATTTTACATTGAATATCAACTGTTTCAAATACATATACCGTAGTGGCAATTTTCTCTTGGGAATTGTTGAGAATTGTAAAATTGAAATACATTATCATCAGATATATTTTCAAGAAAAGCAGACTTGGGATGACAGTCCATGTTTGAATGATTTATACCAGTCAAAGTATCTATAATTATGAATTTAATAAATATAAAACTGAATTGGGAATTTTTCTGATTATCATGTACTTGGGAAGTGTGAAGGTGATATGAATTTCTTTATCTACTCAATGTATTTTTTTTCTGTTTGATGTTAATTGATGTGTCTAAACAGTAGTTTTGTTTGTTTGTTACAGACAGTACAGATATTGTGGACCATAAGCTGAAATTGATCCTCGGTTTGATATGGACCCTCATTCTCCACTACTCTATTTCAATGCCCATGTGGGAGGGCGAGGAACCAGGACCATCAGAGGGCGGACCCACACCCAAACAGAGGCTTCTCAACTGGGTACAGGGCAAGGTACCCGATCTGCCAATTCGGAACTTCACCACCGACTGGAACGATGGAAAGGCCATCGGAGCTTTGGTTGATGCTGTTGGACCCGGTATGTAACTTTAAAATTTTGTCTGAATATATTGTATATCATGAACTTGATGAAAAATTACGATTTAATATTTTGATGCTGGTACAATGTTTGTCCACTCGATGATAAAATTGACTTTTGTTCCAGTCTGCCAAGCTCTAAAAATGTGTACCAATTATTGTAGGTTAAGAGATCTTGCAGTGTCAGCAAATAATGAATCCTGTCTGGCCCTTTGTAACAATACATGATATTACATATAGATAGAATTTAGAGTCTGTGGTTATACAGAAAAGGATATTTTTGGGGTAATCACTACATCATTTTACTTATAATAATGGTGAGGATGTTTTGCAGAAAACGATAACTAATTGAGATTTTAATTAAAAAAAAAATATTGATATTCTCAGTAAGATAAGTTGAGGAGATATTTTACAAATAAGAACACAGAATTTGAGTACATGGATTTTAGAGCTGGAGAAGAGTATATATAAAGTTATACATATATCCCCTCTCCTGGCTTGTGGTCTATCTTTTCCATCTTTTGGCGCGACTGTTAATTGTTGTTTCATACCAGCAGGATCTAGCCATTACTTCACCTGAGCAGAAACAGTCTTATGTTGTTGAGCAACTCTTAATGTTTAACACGCCACAAAACCTGGGTCTATCAATCAATTTGACTGCACACCATTTTGGTTGGTTAGTTTTTTGAGGATAAAATTTTAGTTTATGTGCAATTTACAATGTGCACAGGTTTGTGGGTTGATAAGGTGGATGACTACAAAAAACCAAAAACCAAAAAAAGCAATGTTTTAAAAGAAGATAAAAGATGTTGAACAAAATCTATGTTTGTAGAAAGGATAATTTTTATGCTCCAACATAAAGATATCTGATAAAGTTGCCAGAGTCGTCTCCCTTTACAAAATAAAAAAGAAGGGAAAAAAATCAGCTGTAGTTATCTCCCCTAGGCCATGTTTTGGTTTTTTGTTTCACTGGGAAATTTTGTTGCTCTGCATTCAAAAAAAGCAAATACACAGACTATGAAAAAAAAGAAGTTTTTTCAATTTCTTAAATGGCACCAAATTACTATCATCTTAATTCCATTGTTTGCCCAGCAAGGTTAACAAATATTTCTTGATGTTGCTAGGTCTCTGCCCTGACTGGGACAACTGGGATCCCAAGAAGAAGAAGGATAATGCAAAAGAAGCTATGGATGCAGCCGAAAAATGGTTGGGTGTCCCTCAGGTTAGTAAAAATAAAATCATAGTGTGTCCCTCAGGTTAGTAAAAATAACTCATAGTGTACAAATGTAGGTAAAACCTACAGAAAAAAAGGTTTGATCTTGGAACTTAATTGATAATTTTAATTACTGCTTTTTCATGAAAAAAAGGTGTTTTTTTGTTTTTTTTCTAAACTGTTCAAACTGTTTTGGAAAAGTAAGATCAGAAAAGAATTTTTAGATGTCATTTTCCTGTTTCAGTTAATATTGAATAATTCCGAGTAATTCCGAGTTTTTTTTAAAACTTACCTGAATGTGTTACCATCTGAATAAGAATATTTCATTTACCAACATCCAATGATTATAGGAATAAAAGAAAATGTTTTCCTTCTGAAAAGAAGTCAGAGTGATTATTGTAAAACAAGATTAGAGTGAACAGTCCTTATCAGATTCCAGAAATCTGTACATATACCTGTCTGCTGTGTTCAGGGTGTTGATTTCACTTAATACCTTAGTTCAATGATTGTTTTACTGATCAATGAACAGATTAGACATTTTTTTTGTGTCATTCACCAACTCTAGAAAAACTGAAAGGATAACAAACAAGTAATATAAATAAGTGTGCCAAACTTGATCTCTATTCAAATAAACTTCAAGTTGTCCACTGAATGGCTTCTGGCCTGGATTTAAAAATGTATGGTTAACTTACCAAAAATATTTTATCTTTCTCTCAAACTAAATAAAAAGTTCGCTGTGTGTTTTGCTGTATGATGGCCCTAACGACCTTTTATGTGTTTATGGGACGTTAAGAATGTAATAATAATAATAAATAAAAAGTTCATGGGTCATTAACATAATTGATATGATAATGACATTTTCTATCAGTGAAAAAAAAGTACAGGAAAGACAAACCTTGACATTTTGTTTTAAGTATACTAGGCTTTCAATGACAGTAGTTTTGTTACGTTTGGGTAATGAAGCACCTACAATACAAACCTGTATTTGTATAGAATTTTTCGTTGATGTTAAGATTGGCCTACTGGAGTTGTATCAGTGTTAAATCTCTCCAAAAGTTTCTGTCTCTGCCTTCTTTGCAGCTGTCACGACGATTCAGAGTTTTATAGTAATGATTCAAATGTGTATAAATGTAATTAGTTTTCCTCGGAAATTTATAAATTTGTGACAAAATAGAGATTTTAAAATGGCAGGTGTGAATGATCACATGGATTGTGTGAGTATTAATCAAATCGTGCATTTCATTTTAGGGAAAGTGTGCAGATAGTTTTTTTGGAACAAGTGTGCCGCTAAATTACGAAATTACATGTTTTATGAAATTTGTTGTTTACAGCTGCTTGAGCCGAAAGATATGATCAACCCCAAGGTTGATGAGCTGTCAATGATGACATATCTGTCCCAGTTCCCCAAAGCCCAGCTCAAGCCTGGTGCACCTCTGCGTCCCAGACTCAACCCAAACAGGGTTCGCGCCTACGGCCCAGGTCTCGAGGCCACTGGTAACCAGGTCGGTGCCCCAGCACGTTTCACCGTAGAAACTTTCAGTGCTGGCAAAGGAACATTGGAGGTTACCCTCATTAACCCTAAGGGTCAGAAGGAGACCGTAAGTCACAGTGTATTTTTTGTGTCATGTAGAAAGTATTATTCAAAAATTGTTTGTTGGTATCCTTTTCAGGATTCTTATTTGTAAATGATTGATTTTCTGCAAAAAGAAATATTTCATATTTGAAAAAGAATGTTTATTATCATTACTGGAATAAAATTTTTATATTGATAATTTTTGTATTTTGATTGTAAAGTTTTATAAATGCTCTTTGTTTTCAACAGTGTGAGTGTGTCTTCAACAATGACAGGAACCTGACCTACTCATGTGTATATACTCCAAAGATGGAGGGAGAGTACAGGGTAAGTTGTCTCCCTTCCATTTATAAATACTCTTTGGACAACTGATAATGCCACCTAGAAGAAGAAAAAGCAAGTTTGTTTATTCTAGAAACAACCTATCATAAAAGATTTTTCATGACATAGCCATAATGCATTTTGAAAACATGTACATTTGAGATAAGAATTTTTTGTCTCCGTTATCAAAAATAAAAAAAGACTTGGGAAATAATAAAAAAATTATAGAATAAGACCAGCATGATCCAGCCAAAGTACCATAGATAAAATATCATTGTGTAGATATTTAGGTGTATCAGTATCCTTGACCTTTGTTGAGACACTGTTAGGTTCACAGTGATGACTGGAGAACATAATAAATCTTGTCCTGTTGACCACCCAGTTTTATAGTACTGAATGTATACAAGTGTTATTAGTGATTGCTGGACAAGTTTATCTATTCTTAAATTTATTGATGGACAATTGAGGAAATAACATGCCAGAGGACAGGGAGAATTTGTATAATTTTAAGGTGGACAGTTAGAGTATAAAAAGTCCTTTGGAATTCTTTCTGTTTAAATATTCTTTTTTTGTGTTAACATTTTTGAGTGTTTTTTAGTTTTCGTCATAATTGAAATGATTGATGATGTGTAAGCATGGTAGGAATGGTCGTAAGAACTTGTTCTCGTGTGGACATACAGCTTTGTGTTAATTTGATGATTGACCTGTAAAATATATTTCTCCAATAGGTAATCATCAAGTTCGGAGATAAGGAGATCCCAAAGAGTCCATTCTGTGTGAAGGTAGAGGGCGCTGCTGGCGATGCTTCCAAGGTAACAGCTTCTGGACCTGGAATCCAGAAAACCGGAGTTGTTGCTGGAAAGAGGACACATTTCGAAGTTTTCACCAAGAGTAAGTGTCCAGTTATGTGTAGTGTAGGACTGAATGTGTTATGATGAGTTGCTATTTATAGAATGCTAGTGCAGGTTTGTGAGTATAGTATTGAGTGTCAGCGTCTCAGAATTTTGTGATTTCATAAAGACAAATTTTAGAAAACTCAATAGCTAACCTTGTGGCTTTCTTAGTCATAATACGATTAGACTCTGCTGTATTAGGTAGATCTATTTATAGATTAATCGTTGATGCAATAATACTGAACTATTTATAGATCAAAATTTGATGATGCAATGATTTTGATATATTGTTGGATGAATTGGATAACGTATGTTTGATCTATTTATAGATTAATTAATGTTGCTATACTGATATTGATGTATTTATAGAATGAGGCAATACCTTTGATCTATTTATAGACAATATTTATAGAATGAGGCAGTACCTTTGATCTATTTATAGATAATATTTATAGTAAAGATTCAAACAATAGACTTGATTACTTGTAGGTTGCTGAATTTTAAATGCACCTTTTTAGGTATTGTTTAGTTAGGCATTGATATGATAAGATACTAACTGTATTCCTCTAGATATTTGAGGGACAGCTTGCTAGAGTTTGTTGTTTGTTGTGAAGTGTGTTTACTATTAAAAGTTGCGATATTATTAATATTGAAGATTTACGATGACATTTCTGTTTCATTTTACATTTTTTTCGTTCTGTTATTCTTCCTTCATCCTAAAATGTTCTATCCACTTAAATATTATGTTCTGTTTACATGTCCCCGCTTTGTAAAAGTCCTTATAGTTTTCTATAAATCTTGAACAATTTACACGAAAAAAAAAACAGAACAGAGAATACTTGCGACACGAATAGTGAAAGCATTTACATCTCGTTAATATGGAAAACATTGTAAGCATTATCATATAGTCGTATTAAGATAAGACAAGACCTTATGTTAGTCATATTTAGATAAGACAAGACCTTATGTTAGTCATATTTAGATAAGACAAGACCTTATGTTAGTCATATTTAGATAAGACAAGACCTTATGTTAGTCATATTTAGATAAGACAAGACCTTATGTTAGTGGTATTAAGATAAGACAAGACCTTATGTTAGTCATATTTGGATAAGACAAGACCTTATGTTAGGCATATTTAGATAAGACAAGACCTTATGTGTTATTGCTGATTCTAGGACTGATATATTGGAAAGCCTAACGTTTATTGAAATAAAAGAATTTCCAAGTTCCAGAATTGACGAAACAGAACTTTTTTTCCTCCTGTCTTTCCTCGTAGACCCAGACTTTCGTATCTTATGTTTAGTTTTGTCAGATTAATGGTGATTGGCTTAATTTAGTACGTAGTATGATTTAGCTCTCAGCACACCTTTGCTTTTTTCCTCACTTTCAATGAACAGATGCAGGGGGCTCCAAATTGGTAGGAAAAGGTAAGTGAACTTGTGCACTTGGAGCACCTGTGACCATTCACAGCAGTTTGTATCCGTTTCCTTTCCTCCATGTGTAATACTGGGTACTGGGGCTTGCTCTTTCATCATATGTGTAAATATGTATAATATTCATATGTATTTCATTGAAATTTTCTTTGTAGTGCATCTAATATCATATATGGTCACTGAGATTTCTATATATAAGTTTTTTTTTGATCTCGAGAAATTTAAGAGTTTCATAATCTTTTATTCCTAGATTGCTCAGAAATATTTGTCAGACTTTAAAACAAGATAAGGTTAATGGTGAAGAAAATATATATATATATATTCATATATATTAGCTTAAATAAAAAAAATGGTTGGGTGGAAATTAGGAGTAACTTTGTAGGCACAAAGAAGTCTCAGTGAGCTGTTCCATCCATCAGTGTTGTAATCTGTCATCACTCATCAAAGCCTCCTGATCAGGGGTTAGAATTTACATTTGAAATTAGATAAATGAATAAATAAATAAATAAATGAATGAATAAATAAAAAAAAGATGCATGAATTCACCATGATGACAGGAGGCTTTGAATGCATTTTATGTTTTTGTTTTGCTTTTCACATTTCAGTCATTGTTTTCACGGTAACATCATGTCATAAGTTTTGTGATTGTCCTGTATGAAGTCAGATTGTCCGCTCAAATGTCCATTTATTGTCCAAACCACTTGTCATGTTCAGTAGCCTTTTCTTCCCACAATTATCACCTTATTGGTTGTTATTTTAAAAAAGAAGTTATCTCCCCTTGAATAACCTCATGAAGCTGAGATGCCACCTTAAGTACCATATGATTTTATGGTAAACAGATGCCAAACATTTCCATACCACTATAAAAAATATCCTCCTCTGCATCTTTGGTTATGTTATTTGCCATGTGGTTGTGTTTTTATAAACATTCCCCATTTCCATAATCCTAACAGTTAGAAAATCGTTGATTGCTGTCTTCATGCAGCCTGTAGTTATCTGTAGAGACTTCAAAATGCTTCAAAGTATAGATTCAAATCAGTGTTATGTCACCTTTCACAAAGCTCTGACGTATTCTGGTAATAAATTATCTTATCAAATTTCTCAGATGATATGTTGGATCACTGTTAATTTTTGCTCGATTCATCGTTCAATTTTCATTTCATTTCATATTTTCTTTTTGTTTCTTTTTTTTTTATCATACACGCATTTAGTTATTATTTTTTTCATTTCATAATTGGATTAATCATTCTTTCTTTCAGACTGTATATATATTTATATATTGAATTAAATAAAATTAAAAGAAAAAAATTGAAAAAATTTGAAAAAAATCAAATTAAGATTGCTATTTGTTCCATCAAAACATTTAAAAATAGAAATGAAAGAAAATTTAACAATAAATTTGAAGTTTGCTAAATATCAAGACATGACAGGCGTATTTATGTTGTGTAAAATGTTGTAAGTACATATGTATGTAAATTGCTGTCTTGGTGTTTGGGTACTAATATTGTGTTTACATAAGCTAATCTGTGTTTTTATTGTAGACATTTTCTTTCTTCAAGAATATTGATATATTGATTTTAACTGGGAACAAATGGTGATATATATGTTAACATGTGCTTTGATTTTGATAACAAATTTTAATTAACAGTACTACAGAAAGCATATAATTGTTTATTTTTGATCCAACAAAAAATTCTGTTTTAAAATTAATTAAAGATATTGACAGTTAAAACGAAATACCTGGATTCGTAACCGTGTAAAATTAAGCTGAAGATGAAATTTGAATCATTGATGAGAAATAGTCACAATATAAAAACTGTGGCCTACTTCAACTTGTTATGCCTTGGAGTTGAGAACATGAAATCTTTTGTTATAATTTCCTTAAAAATATTGGAGCTTTTCACAGATTATTATCAAATATTTAAATATATTTTGGTTTGTAATCCATGTTAATTGATGATTTTGGTGTATCTGATATGATAATATAGTCAAAGTATAGTGACTAAATCTGTATGAAAGAAGTTGAAATGAGTAAACATATATTCATTTACAATTTATTAACCTTAAAACAGCTCAACTGAAGTGGTCTTGACCTACTTTTTGATGACCTTATTGCTGATGACCTAGTTTTTCTGTGTTACAGATGCTGGCAAAGGCAACGTTGATGTAGTCATCTTGGACAGCCACGGTCGCAAGGACACTGTCCGAGCCAGTATTACAGCTGTTGCTGGAAAGGAAGCTACCTACATGGTGGAATATGTGCCTTTAGAGCCTGGACAGCACTCTGTCAACATCTACTTTGCTGGACACCAGATTCCAAACAGTCCATATGGCGTTGGTGTTGCCCCAGGTATGAGCAAGGGAAAGGGCTTTCAAAGGGAGACAATCAAGGACCCTAAGCCATTTGTCAAAGTGAGAAGTAAAGAAAAAAAAAGAAAATAAAAATCACAAGAACAGATATCTCATGTTAAGATATCATTTAGAATTACAGTGGATATTGAGAATTCATCAATGGATTTTATTACAATTTATTATAATTATTATGATATTATGTATTTATCATAATTATAATTTTATATCGTTTTATGGTTTATGGTTCTTCATTTTCTCCCGAAAACTATAGTTGTATTATTGTACCTGTAGGGTATATCTTTTTCATCTCCAAACACATGTTTCTTTTTTTATCAATGTTTTTTTTTCCAGGCTTGTTGTTATTTACCTCAATATCAAATATCCTGATTATTCCATGTGAAGGAGTTTTATCCTTTCTATCCAGCTTGCGGGAAGGGAGATAACCCTTAGTGTGATCCTTCCTTGTCATACAAAAAATGATGTCTTATTTGCAGAGAGAATTATGAAACAAGGTTCCAGTCAGAAACAGTTACATCAAGACCTTGTGTTTCATTTTTTTTCTCTGGAGAATTAGTCCTGACTTAAATGATTGTCAAGCTTTATGAAAAATTAGAAATCAAAGTAATTGATAGACTCATTAATTAAGAGAAAATTATGTTAAAGTACAACATATAAGTTGTTACTGATGTAATTGATGTTAACAAGAACACAGCACCAATAAGGTTAATCAACATTTCAATGCTAAAAATCATCCAAAGTTTTTCATTCTGTCAGATTTATCATTTGATATGGAGAGGAATGAATTAGTACCAGTATCCTGGAGACTTCAGTTTCAGTGTCTGTGCCTCTGAATCAGTTATTATTTCTCTGTCCCTGTTGCATGTTCATGGTTTTAGAATCAATCATTATTTGTGTTTGAAATACCAATCCACAGCTGGCAGCAAGGCCGCTCCTGGTGCGGCACCTCTTGGTAAATATGATTTACCCTGTGTTGTTCTAGTTCATTTCTAGTTCAATCCTGTTCGTTGTTGCGGAGAATTTGTCCAGGATTTTCCTGGTTCTCCAATGTTGCTCTGTTCAATATTATCTCTCACTGTTATTAATTCATTAACACATTTTAAAATGAAAATTATGAAAAGAATCTCTTTAAATATTACAAATTGTTTTTGTTCTTGAATCAGTTTGGAATTATTTTAAACAGGATATTAGGTCATAAATATATATCTTTTTTAAGTAAAAGTTTAATTTTGAATATTGTGATTGTTCAAAACTTGTTAAAGTTCAGAATGTGTTCACTAATTTTGTTTAAAACCTGATTGACAGGCAAAGCACCCGGTAAATATTAGTTGTTGGTTTGATCGCAAATTGACAGATCACCATACGTCTTTCCGACAAAAACGTGAAAAAGAAGTGTCATCAATCATTTCATTTGTGAAGTTATAATTAGAAAAGACTGTTTGATTATGATGTCACAATATGATGATGCCAAACTGCTGTGTAGTATAACGTGTGGTGATTGGTCAGTTTCTTGTGAAACAGTGTACAAGATATTTAGTCTGAAACTGTCACAGAAATACAGGATTTCCATCTTGATCTCTCGTTTTGAAATCTAATGATCAACATATGTAATAAAACTACCTGGTTAATGAATTAAATTTATCAAATACCATAGTAATATTTTAGCTAATACGTCAATATTTTTTTTCTGATATGTTGATGATGTAATAAGGAAAAACATATAGCAAACTTAAACGGAAGAAATCAAATTCAAGATGGTTTTCACAAAAAAAAAGTATTTGTTAGCCACTATGCCCATTCTCTGTGATAAGCCCGCCCTGCTCTTTTGAGCTCCTTCCTTGCATTGGGAGAGTAGGGTTGGGTGGGGATGGGTGGGGTGTCATTTTATGATAAGATATAGAAACAGATTTATTACAACTTTTAAAGTAAATCATTTAGACTTTCCTCTACACTTAGCCCTCATCTTTTAAACTCTTATAATACTTTAGTGTACTATGTTCCAAAAATAGTAAATTTATAAATTGGGTTTTTTTTTTTATTGTGAATACGATATTAAGATTCCAAAATGATTTTTTCTTGTAAAAGTTCCAGTAAAACACCAGTCAGGTAAATAAACTACCTCTTTTAACAAGGATGTTTGAGTCCTTGTATAAATTAGAAATGAGAAATATTTATATATGAAATTAAGAAGCTTTCGTTAAAATTCTCAAGACATGGTCTTTTGATTAAGGTAACATGAAGTAAACTCATGGACTTATGTTAGAGAATTAGGTTTGTGAATGAATTAAAAAGCTGAGACACCATGTTAACATTGACGGGGAAAGGTGACCAAGTCAGGTTCAGTTTCAGACTATTTCTTCTGAAAATCGTTACTTTTGTGTATGTATCAGAGGTTATCTCCCCTGGATCATACACACATTGTAACAAATGTTCCATGTCCTGCTTTCAATTCCTTATTAACATATTGAAATTGTTTTTGTTTTTGTTCAAAATATTTATATATTTTCTTTTTATATATTTTTCTTTTGTTTTTGTACACCATATCTAACAGAGTAAATGTCTGTTAATTTTTTTTTCTTGACTAAACACTCTCACAATACTTGATCAGTATTTACAACAAGAAATTTTAATTTTTTGTTTCATCCTTTTCAAGATGATATTATCTTACCTTTTCTAGTTAATATTGAACAATTTTCAAACTACTGCATTGAGTTAGAAGAGTAATTGTTCTTTATTCACTACATCCTTCATTCTTCATATTTTAATTCTCTCAGAGATGTTTTGTTGTCCATTTTCATCATATAAATTTAGAAGTAGTCTATTTATAAATTTTAAGTTCATTTCATTTTCATTGAGCAGAAGATGTTCTGTTTATAGTTTCATTAAAAATATTGATTTCATAACTTTACGAGAAATTGTGTTATAGTTTCGCAATAAATATTAAATTCACAGTTGGAAAAGGGCCTGCCGCTAAACAGCCCCCGGGTAAACAGCCCGCCCCTGGTAACTATACAAGTTGCTAGTGTGATCAAATCTGCTTTAATGATGAACAATGTGAAAGTTTGCAAGCCATTCACGTTGTGTCAGGTTATTATGATAAAGGCATATTTGTGATTTCAAAGCTTTTTTGTTTTCAGGATTGAAAACAATTGAAAATGATTAAGTTTATTTTGCATTTTGTCTTAAATTGAAGAAAAAATATGTTTCAATATGTTTCAAAAGTTTCAGTTGTAAAGAACACTGTTCACCTCTGTGATATTCATTTTATAGGATCAAGTAACAGTGATTGACCAACGAATTCTTGTCTGAATTTATGTCGTGTCTTAAAAAAGAAGTTGCAGTTGAATTTTCACACATGTATGCCTTTCTGGATTTGTTAGTGTAATAAAATGTTCCATCCTATTTATGTTTTAGCATTCATGTTTAGTTCTGTTTTTTTTGGTGTACATTCTGTAATTATTATTGAACACAGAAATAAATAAATAAAAAAAATATATGGTCTTCATTAAGTAAATTTAAGACAACATATTGGCTGGTATAGATTTTTGGAATTATTTCAGTAACGTACATGGGCTAATATTTATTTCTGGTTGAAATTTTGAATTTTACATGTAAAGATTGGGTGGGGAATAAGTGGGGGAGGGGTTGAGGGGGGTTATTAGAGAGCAATTTGTGGGGGGGGGGGGGTTGAGGGGGGTTATTAGAGAGCAATTTTTGGTGTTTTTTTTTTTTTTTTTTTTTCTTGTTGGAATTAATTCAGTAATGTACATGGGCTAATATTTGTTTCTGGTTGAAATTCTGATTTTTATGAGTAAAGATTGGGGGTTATTAGTGAGCAAATGACTGGGGGTATGGATGAAAGTTACAGAATGTAATTAGCTGTGAATGAATGATTTGACACATTATTTTTGTTTTATGTAATTTTGTTTCTGTTATATTGTTAGCAAAGTGTGAGTTCATTATTATACTGTGTGGTTTTATTTATTTATTTTTTATTTCCAGTTTTAAATTGGTTTGGATTTTTTTTCAGGATATCATAGAATATTTTGATTGACGTAGGTTATCGCAGAATGCCTTTTGACCTCATACAAGCATGATGTACTGAATGAGATCAATTTCAGGATACTACTTTAGGAAATTGATGACAGTATATATAGAATTCTGATGGGAGTGACATTTATAATATCAAATAACTGCCATTTCACGGCATGTCAATGCTTTGATTAGAGAATGTGTGTGGTTTGCTACATCACAGAGTGCGTTATATTCATAAAAACGACAGTATCCTGTTTATTGAATAGAAAACTCTGTTAGATAACTTTGTAGGAAAACAAATCACGTGAATGTTTGGTATAGGTAGCATGTAGTGTTTATTTTATACATCTGTAGCAGTTACAAGTGACTACCATTAATTTAGGACAAGTGCTAGGAGAAATTATTTCCAAGTTATTAGTGTTATCAAAAATAACTAATCTTTAGATAAAAAAACAAAATGATGTAAAGTTAACACTTCTTACAGCATGTTCATAATCTTCCTAAATGGAAAAAAAGCATGTCACATAAAAAAAAAAGTGAAAAAAATGTTCTTAATAAACTGTTGCTATGGTAACTACACCATCTTCCTGTTGACATAGGCTTTGTGGATTTAACACATGAACCATCAAAGAAACAAGTCATTTTTTGTTATTTATTTCTTGATGTTGTGTACCATTTCTGTGCTTAATAACATAAAAAATTACTTCAGTGTTGTCTGTCTACTTGTATGTTAAGTTTCATCTGTAGGTTTGTTTATCGTTTTTCAGAGAATAATCATTGTAACTTGTTTATTTGTTATTTGTGAATTTTGCAGAATTTTGCAATTATATATTTTTGTAAACCAATTTCCTTTATCAAACTCTAAGATTGTCAATTTAAATATATTTTAGCCTCTAACGCCAAGATGTGCTATGCCACTGGACGTGGTGTCCAGCCTACTGGAGTCCGTGTTAAAGATCAAGCCACATTCAAAGTACACACCAAAGGAGCAGGAACCGCAGAGCTCAAAATACAGATAATACAACCAGGCATGTCATCAATGATTGGACTTTTTTCTTCTATTTAACATATTGTATTTAACATATTCTATTCAACATATACATAGACGGAATTATGATGAATTGTTATGGTCTTCAACAATTGTTGGAGTTGGTCATTAAATGGTAGGTTTTATTAGAGAATGTGTGTGGTTTGTAAAAATAAATGTATTTTGTTTAAAGAATAAATATTGATTTCAGTGATAAATAAACAAATTTCACTGTTAAATCATTATTTGGTTACAAAATGAACGATTTGATAGATAAAGGATTATAATCTTACTGATATGTCAGTGGTTTCATTCCAGCCGTGTATAATACTAACAGCTTTGTCTTTGTGTTCACCAGGAGGTGCTGAGTTAAAGTGTACATCAGTGAAGTCTAAGACTGAGGACGGAGTCTGGGAGTGTGTCTATGTTCCTTCTGTCAAGGGACAGTACATCATCAACATCACCTACGGTGAACAACATATCACAAAGAGTCCCTTCAAGGTCGAGGTTGGCCCCACCAAGGTATCTAAGATCAAGGCCTACGGACCAGGATTGGAAGGAGGCGTTGTTAATCAACCAGCTGTCTTCACCGTGGAAACCAACGGCGAAACTGGAGCTCTCGGTAAAATTATTGTTTTATACACCATTTATAATGGAACTCTGAGTCAAAGTTGGAAACGGGGTTGAAATTGGGGAGGGGGCGGGGTGTTGGTTTATTACAGAGCAATGATAAGGCAGTCTTTCTTTCAAAATGTCATGAGATATGGCTGGGCTTATTACCAGGCAAGGGCTTATCACTGGATAAAGACAGTGATGTTAACATAATGTTAATAGTACATCAGCGATGGATGGGAAAACTATCCTTGATATATTAGAATTCAGTAATTGGTTTCATTTAAATGAATTTGAATGTTCTGTAAAAGTCATAGAGAAGTGTGTTCTGTGATTTGTAGGATTCTCCATTGAGGGTCCATCACAATGTAAGATCGATTGTAAAGACAACAACGATGGCTCTGCTGACGTAACCTACTATCCCAAGGCCGAGGGTGAATATGCCGTACATGTGCTCTGTAACAAAGAGGATATCCCACAGTCTCCCTTCATGGTGCCCATCAAACCCGCAACCAAGGAATTTGATGCCACAAAGGTACAAAAAAAGTTTTTAAAACATTGGTATTTTGTTCTGTTGTATCATGCTATCTTAGTCAAAAACACACCACATATCCCAAAATGTTTCATAGGACAGAAACATAAGGTTATAATCGGTTTAGGAAATTTCATAAGATGAATAAAATAAAAAAAAATAAATAAGTAAATTGTAGGAAGGGAGATAACTCTGACAATAGTATGTGTAGCATACTTGAGTAAATAAGGTACATTATATTCTTGTTGTCAGAATTTACAAGTGATGCTATAATCTTTTGTATGTAGGTCATTGCTAAAGGCCCTGGTCTGGAGAAGACAGGAGTCAAGGTTAGCACCTGGGCTGAGTTCACTGTGGATGCCAAGAAGGCTGGCAAAGCTCCGCTGAAGATTTCATGTTTAGATGTTGACCTCAAACCTGTCGAGGTCCAGATTAAAGACAATAAGGATGGAACATACTCCTGTAAATACATGACCAAGCGTGCCGTAAAACACACCATCACCATCACCTGGGGCGGTGTACAGATCCCCAACAGTCCATTCAGGGTAAGTACAAGTCCCGTAAAACACACCATTACTGTCACCTGGGATGGTGTACAGATCCCCAACAGTCCATTCAGGGTAAGTACAGGTCCCGTAAAACACACCATCACCATCACCTTGGGCGATGTACAGATCCTCAACAGTCCATTCAGGGTAAGCACAGGTCCCGTAAAACACACCATCACCATCACCTGGGGTGGTGTACAGATCCTCAACAGTCCGTTCATGGCACACAACCAGTAATTAATGAAACAAATCTTCACCTGGGGCTGTATACAGATCCCTGACAGTCTATTCAGATCTAGAAAGAAGGAATTTTTTAGTATCATGATTGTTTGATCCAGAGGGATGGTGTCATATTCCTTGTAATGTATATCAACAGGTGATGGTTGGAGAGCAGTCCAAACCCGGAAATGTCAAGGTTTACGGTCCAGGCGTGGAGAAGGGAGTGAAGACAGGAGTAAAAACTCATTTCGTTGTCGACTGTAAGACAGCTGGTCCAGGTGAGAATAAGTCTTATTACTACATCGTAGACCACTTTTATAAAGATTGTTCTGAGAACTTGTTTTGATATTGCCTATAAGACACCTGATATCGGTGAGAATTGGTACTGTTCTCTGTGAGAGAGAAATCTGTATGTAGTGTTTTAATAGTTTTTTTTTGTATTGAAAACTCACTTGAAAGCATTTAAGATCTTATGTGGAATTCTACAGCAGGTATTTCAGTGGTCAACATGTGATAAATCATGATGAGGGAGATGTGTAAAATTTCAAATTAGAATCAATATCTTACAGGTGATATCAGCATTGCTTTGACTGACGAGCGTGGAAAAGATGTCCCCGTCAAAACCGTGGACAACAAAGATGGCACATTCAGAATTGAATACGAGCCAAAGACACCTGGAACTTATGTTGTACAGGTGTACTTTGCAAACAGTGAGATTCCGAAAAGTCCCATTAAAGTTAACGTTGAGTCCAGTATTGATCTCAGCAAGGTCAAGGTCGTAGGATTAGATACACGTAAGTATTTTTGTTTAAAATCAGCTTTTGGGTCAAGGTTGTGATACATGCACATTTAAAATTTTATACAGTTGGTTACGAGTTTATTTATGACTGAAAAAACATGCACATAACAAAATGTCGTGGGTGGTAGATTTCAATTTTACTTTTCATTCAGTAATGACTTAACAGGACGAGGTTGTCGGGCAAGATAACAACACATTAATTGGTTGGGGTTTTAAATTTTGATGTTGTATGCTTTCACTGTTTATTTATATGATGCACAAATTTTAATAATGATTTTTTAAAAATACTTTCTCTCCCTGTTTTCTGTTTTCTTTACTTTTCTGACTCTATCTTACTTTAGCAATGAAAGTCAATGAACCACGACAGGTTGATATTATTACAAAGGATTGTGGGAAATCTCCTACACCTGCCACTCTCACAGTTCTCTCCCCTACCAAAAAGAAGCGGGACATTCCCGTAAAGGAAACCCCACAGGGATACACTGCCTCAGTCACAATGTTGGAACCTGGCCTCCACAAGGCCACAGTCACATACGCCGGAAAAGAAGTCCCTAAATCTCCATTCAATGTCAATGTCACCCCAGACTTGTCTGCAAAGGTCAAAGCCTATGGACCCGGCCTTAAGGGCGGAAAGGCACATCAGCCTTGTACTTTCACTGTAGACACAAGAGAAGCAACTGCCCCAGGAGGTCTTGGCGTTACGATTGATGGACCTAAAGAGGCGAAGATTGATTGTGTTGATAACGGTGATGGCACATGTAACTTCACTTACGTGCCTGAAGTTGAGGGAGAATATCGTGTCAACATCACATATGCCGAACAACCTATTCCAAACTCACCATTCAAGGCCAAGATCCTGCCTGGACCTAAGGTTGATGCCACCAAAGTCAAGGTCGTTGGTTTGGACAAACGTAAGTTTGTCTGTGTGGAGTGCTTAGCTATTTATAAAAATGAAAAAAAGGAAGGGATATTATTAAACTCATCTTTTCTCAAATTCTGTCTGTTTACTTCATTTTCTCTTCACTTTCTGAAATTTTATATTGATTACTTAATGAGAATGTTTGTCTGATTTCATTTCCATAGCAATCAAAGTTGGTGAAGTTAGGCCAGTTGACATTATAACAACTGCTGCTGGTAAATCAGACCAGCCTGCAAAGCTTTCTGTTCTCTCTCCAACTGGCAAGAAGAAGGATGTTCCCGTAAAAGAAACACCTCAGGGATACACTTGTCAGTTTAGTGTACAGGAACCAGGCCCACACAAGGTCACAGTGACCTATGATTCCAAGGAGGTCCCTAAGTCCCCATTCACTGTCAACGCTGTGCCTGACCTGTCCAGCAAGGTCAAGGCCTATGGACCCGGTCTCAAGGGAGGAAAGGCTCACCAGCCTTGTACCTTTACTGTAGACACAAGGGAGGCAACTGCCCCAGGAGGTCTTGGTGTTACTGTGGAAGGTCCAAAGGAGGCCAAGATCGAATGTGTAGACAATGGCGATGGCACCTGTAATTTCACTTACTTCCCTGAGGTGGAAGGCGAGTACAGTGTCAATGTGACATATGCTGAACAGGCAATCCCCAACTCTCCCTTCAAGGTCAAGATTAATCCTGGACCAAAGATCGATGTCAGTAAAGTCAACGTACTTGGACTGGACAAACGTAAGTGTCCAACAGACGATGATAGCAAATTGATTTCTACGAAAACCATAACAACATAAAGTTTGATTTTTATTTTGAAACTGCATGAAACTGAAGATAAATAAAAATCTGTTTTGATAACAACAAATTTTTATTAAGATAAATTCTTTATGTGATCATTTTAATTTTCTTTACGCTTTAGCGATGAAAGTCAAAGAACCACGACAGGTTGATATAGTAACCACTGCTGCCGGTAAATCAGATACACCAGCCAAGCTTTCTGTATTGTCCCCCTCTGGAACCACAAAGGAGGTTCCAGTGAAGGAAACCCCCCAGGGTTACACAGCTGCAGTAACCATGTTAGAACCCGGACCACACAAGGTTAATGTCGCTTATAACGGAAAGGAGGTACCGAAGTCACCATTCACAGTTGATGTCCAGCCAGAGGTCGCAGATAAGGTCAAAGCTTATGGACCTGGCTTGGAAGGAGGAAAGTCTAATCAGCCATGCACTTTTACTGTGGACACAAGAGAAGCAACTACCCCTGGAGGTCTTGGTGTTACCGTTGAAGGACCCAAGGAAGCCAAGATCGATTGTGTTGACAATGGCGATGGAACTTGTAACTTCACCTATATGCCTGTTGAGGAAGGAGACTACAAGGTCAATATCACTTATGCTGACCAGCCAATCAAAAACTCTCCATTCACTGCCAGGATCGAGCCCGGACCAAAGATGGATCTGAGCGGAGTAACAGCCTACGGACCTGGTCTTAATCCCACCGGTAATCAGCCTACCCATAATGCATTGCATTGCATGGATTTGTTTGGATGAATTTCCTTACTCAAATAATACTCCCTGCGTGCCTGTATAATTATAATGAAGCAAAGCCAAGCATTTTTCATCACCTCTAACACCCCTCTTCTTTGTTTAAATGGTATGGTCTTAAGGACTGGTTTACCATGAGGGGTGGGAGATTAAAATATGCTGTAGCTAGCTTGAAATTCTTTTTGTATTTGTAGCTTGTCTTTTTGGTATAATAGACGAGGTTGCATTTGCCTTCTTAACAATTAATGTACAGACTTTCAGAAAGTTCACAGTGCATGTGAGATGAAGGGATAAAGAAATTGAAAGAATTAAGCTGACCGCATGCCTAGCTTATTTTGTTTCATATATTATTGAAGATATGCATTCTATATAATTTTACATGATTGGCAGGTTTGGGAAATTACTTTCATTTGGAATGAGATATATACCTGGTAATTGTTTTCTGTAATCAAGATACCAACGACTTGACAAGAAATAGGATTTATTACAACATATAAGGCTACATATATTTTTGTAAGTGAAATTTGGCGGGGGAGTCCTGCATGGATTTAGTTTATTTTTTAGATGTATGATTTCTCTATTTATTTTGATATAAGGATTTGACGGGATCAAGAAAGACCGAGTGAACAAAGAAGTCTATAGCTCTAACACTTCTCCCGTATTGCTCACTCTAATTGCCTGCTGCTAATATTATAATGAATTTCCCATTTAACTTTTACTGTGTGCTGTTTGCCTGACGTTGATGTGAAAATAAATTTCCCATTTAACTGTGATTGTGTTTGCCAGAAACTGAAGTGATAATAAACTTTTCCTTTTAACTGTGACTGCTGTTTGAAACCATGTGTTCATTTGATATGATACAACGATAACACCTTGTCTTGCTAGACTCAAAATTACAATGTTAATAATCATAAAAAAAATCAATATTCTGAGAGTGTTTTTTTTTCCTGGGTTTATACCAAACCTTTTTATGTTAAAAAAGTGTCCAGATTAACAGGGCTTTATTGTATGTGTATTTGTAACTGTGTTTGCTGTGAATTAAATTACTTGTGTGTACCTTGGTACTACCAATTTTTATACATTTCATATTTTTTTTGCAGCTTTATCATGCAGCTTTAGTTTCCTATACTTCAAGTATAGATCATTTAAACTTTTTTCTGGTTTTGACACTTTTGTATTTACTGGTAGACTGGTATATAAAGCCTTACAGATTTGGCCAACTGAAAACTTAGCTGACCCAGTTTAAGCATGCCCTTCAAACTTTAGGTCAGCAAAAATTGGGTCATTGATTCTTTTGGCAAAAAAGTTTGAATTTTACATCTGAAATTTTGAAAAAGGAAGATTTGAAAAAAATTGTGTAGGAGGAATAATATGAGACATTACATATTTTAGCTTTTCGCTGCTTCAGCAAATTTATAGTTTATTCACAAAATGTATAAATACATTTATTTACCAACCTCATGTTTTAACTCTATGCTTTATAATAATAAATATAATAGTATTTTAAAATGATATCAGTAGATATTTTACTCTATGTGACTCAATATATTTAATAAATTAGATTAAATTTTATTTTTTTTGAGGAGTCCAACTAATAAATTTCAATTTTATTGATGTCAAGATAATGGTATTCAAACATTATTTCATTCTCAGTAATATTTATAGAGACCTGACATTTATCATCTTAATTTACTGCTTGAACAAACATGTACATATATATTGCATAACCATACACAAAATATATATAAATGCTTCAGTATTGCTGCAAATTTGAATTTTATTTTTCTTATTAGATTCTTTAAAGTTCAATTTACAAGGCAATGTTATCAAATCAAGTTCTATGGAAAGCTACAGTGTCTTTTCTTGTTTGTTGAATCTTTTTTCTTCAACTTTTATTTACTTCTTAATTAAAATATACAACCAGGGAAGTTGAATATTAGAAATAAAAAAAGACCTCCATAATAAAATTTTCATTTAATAAAATAAATCAATTAAGTATATATGTATTGAAATAATATTCATTTTAATTAAATTAAATTAATTAATTTTTTTTAATGATTAAGACATCTTTCTTCTGTAGGTGTATTTTTGGAATCCCTTTCGGAGTTCACTGTTGATGCCAAGTCCGTCACACCTGTTGGTGAAGGCAACATCCGTGCTATCATCACCAGCCCAAGTGGAACCAAGCATGACAGCATCGTCACAAACAAAAAGGATGGCACCTACAATGTTCTCTACACTCCAGAGGAACAAGGTTCACAGTCTTCATATTTGATAAATAACATACCATTTCAAGGCATAAACCTGTTTCCAAAATGAATCATCTCCGGTTATTCTGTAAATCTGGTCTAATGTTTAACTTATATACTGTTTGTAAAATGATACTAATGCTGATGTCCTTGCTGAATAATTCCAGAACATTTTTATTATATGAGGAAGATTTCTTTCAAAAATTATGCACAAATCATATATTATATGGTATTTTGTGAACACTGTTGTTATTTCAATAGTTGCAGTAATAAATCAATTTGTTTATTTCATTAAATTTTATTTTCAAAAATCAATTCAAAAATCAAAAATGAATATTGATTTTTGGTCCTGTATGTATTGACTGATCAGATGATTATTTTGATTGACAGGTCCCACAACCATTGATGTTACTTACGACAGCATGCCTATCCCAAAGAGCCCCTTCAAGGTGAACACTGTTCCAGGGAACGATGCCAGCCGAGTCAGTGCTTACGGGCCAGGATTGGAAGGTGGATACTCGTGTGATACCCAGCAGTTTACTGTTGATGTTAAGAATGCTGGCCAGGGAGGCATTGGTCTTGCTATCAACGGACCCGTGGAAGCCCAGATTAACTGTAATGACAACCGTGATGGAACTCTCACTGTTGACTATCTGCCCACAAAGCCCGGAGACTATGATGTAAACATCAGCTTTGCTGACCAACCCATCCCAGGTAGAGTTGATTCTGACTGTGGATAAAACATTACATGTTTTATATGGACCTTACAAGCCAAGAAGTTTTCTATCAGAAACATTCAGGATTTTAACAATAATGAAGAAATATCATTATGCGTAATATTCAGATTCACATTTTGTTTTATTTGGTTTGCTTGATTTATCTCCCTTACACCAACTAATGAGAAAGTACCATTTCCTGATTATTACTATAATTTTTACTCCCTTTTTCTAGGGTCGCCATTCAACGTAGCGATCAAAAACCCAGTGAATCCTGCCAAGGTCCAGTGCTACGGCCCTGGACTGGACAGCAAGAATGTTCGCGAAGGCTCTCCCGCTACCTTCACAGTGGACACTACTGAGGCCGGAGAGGCTCCCCTGGAGGTCACTTACACAGACAACCAAGGTCAGAATGACCACTGGTCATTCCTATTTTTCTAATTTTCAAACCTTTTTGTAAAAAAAGATTTCCAGATCTATATTCAAGTTTTGTAGAAGATTTTTTTTTATTCATTTTCATTAAAAATTCTGATATTTTACATGTGATTAATGCATAATTGTGGTTATAGGAAACAAACGTCCAGCAGAATTACAGCCTGTCAGCGAGGGTAAGGTCAACGCCACCTACTATCCACAGGAGGAAGGCAAGTGCAAAGTTGAAGTCAAGTATGCTGACCAACAGGTGCCAGGCAGGTAAGATCCGACAGACATAATAACAATCAGTAGCAACCACAGATATATTTAGTGAACAGCAACTACAGTTCCAATTTGTCCAGTTGGAACCAAATACATACACTGACCAATATATTAAGTTATAGCTGTTATATGTATTTAACTTGGTTATTTACTGATAATTTCAATACAATCATTACAAAAACATATTCTCTCATATCAGTGTCTTAATAGTTACATTTTGATTTCTTATTTTCAACCAACACCAATTTATCATCGTTTATAAAATAATGTGCTTTTTTGTCTTCAGTCCATTTGCTATGCAAGTACAACCTACCTGTGATCCCAGCCGTGTTCTTGTCACGGGGTCTGGAGTAGGACCTAACGTCCATGCCAGCAAGCCTGTCTCTTTCACCATTGACACCAGCCAGGCCGGAGTTGGTGACCTTGAAGTCACAGTAATGGTCAGTATTATATTAGTTTTATGCTAAATGGGTCGGTCACTGAAATCCAGGTTTTATACATTGTTTTCTTCAATTTTGTTATTAAGAATTGTGATAGAATTATTTTGCTAACATATTCAGGTTTTATAATTGGTTTATGAAGAATGGTTGTTCATTGAAAATTCCCATGACTATTTTTTATGATCAAAATTCAGTATTGCTTTAAAGAGTTGTCTCCCTTCGATTCATAATTTTGAAATATGCAAACACTTAGCAGAGTTGCTTCCCTTTATTAAGTCTACTCATATTCAAACACTATTGATTAATGGGCCTCCTTGACCTTTTACCATCACATTGATGATGTAAAGCGAAGTACCAGCGTTTTGTTTGTCTATCAGTGGTTCATCTTTCCTCCAAGGTTAACTGTCTGTTTTTTTCAAAGAAACCAGTCATTAATCATGACCAATTCTGAAGTAATTATGCATGGAAGTGTTTGTCAAACTTTTGGGTAATAATGACTTAAAGATACCAGAATTAGAAATATTACAAAGCTTTCCAACATTGGCAGACCTAGAACTGATTTCTGACTCTGTCAGTCTGATATCACAACTGAGGCGTGGAGCTCCAGCTGTTGAATGGTATACACACTAGGTATTACTTTAAGAATGTTGGCCCCATGCCAGAGTTATGAAGTAGGAAAGATAAGGTTTGGTGTGGATTTACTATTAAGACAACACTATCGTGCTGCCTTCAGTTATGATTGTTTCTACTGATGGAAAGAAATTGATAATAATAATAATAAAAAAAATGACCTGAGATTTTTTTTTCATATAAGTATATATAGGTCATATACTATTAGACACTATTTTATAAACTATATTGCTTCTTGGGGTTTTGATACACTTTTTTGTTTTGTTTTTATTTGTATCATTTACCTATTTTTAACACTATGGGGTGTTAAGTTGACATATAAAGTCATGTGCGCTCTGATTCCCAGTTGTCTTAAACTTTGGTCAATGTTTTTTCTTGTAATATTTCTTGAAAATGTAAATGTTTGGAACATTTTGCTACATTGTCTGGCAGACTGCTCTAAGCCTGAAGTACTTGGTTACCTTGTATAGCAAAAGGATCTAGATTGTATTTATAAAAATAGCTGCTATACAGGATTTTGGTTTCAATTTATATTACTAAATGCCCTTGTTTCAGAAATTACTTTAATATACACTTGATAAAATGCAGGTAAAATGTTGAATCAACAAATAAGGACATCCGTTTATTGGAAATCTGATTATAAACATTGTGAAAATTCTATTCTCATATAAAAAACACATTATTTTAAGTGTGTTAAAAGATTTCTGTTTTTTGTCTCAAGTTTTGAATAATGTTGATGTTTTGTGTAGCTACAGTGCAAAGGTGGAATTACAAAAAAGTTGTAGAATGTTGCGATTTTTCAGCCTCCTAGACATAGATCCACCAACGTTTAAACTGATTGTATAAAACGTGTTAAAAGACACGAACATTATACTGAATATAATGTACCATTGTAATATTTGTTGGCGCCATCAGTGTAGATGTAATTGTACTTGAATGCTGTGGTGATAAGGTCCAGATGGGATATCTTAACACAGAGGAACAGTAAATAAATAAGCTAGTGTTACAGGAATAGAAACTAAATGGAAAGATATCAATTGAAACCCAAAAATTTGACAAGTTTGCCAATTTATTCCATGATTTTTAATGTTAATTCTGCTTTAACAGATTTAGCTTGAGGTACCACTTGTTCTTATTGGCTTAATTACACCGCATAAGTCTTCATATTGATCAAACAAGTTAATAATAATAATAATTTTAAATTATTTCTTTGTCATGGGTTGTAATTGTTTGATAAGTTGACTGATATTGTTTGATTCCTCAGAGACCAGATAACTCCTACATTAGCCCAGTAGTCCAGGACAATGGCGACGGCACCTTCACCGTGTCCTACATCCCAGATGATCTTGGACAATACAAAATCAATGTCAAGTTTGGTGGCAAAAACGTACCCAACTCACCTTTCAAAGTCAAGGCCATGTCTCCTGCTTGTGATGCCAGCAAATGTAGAATCACAGGTATGTTAAACTATGAGTGTGAAAAATATTACTTCAGAGAAATATTATCATTGAGATCTAATGGACATCTTTATCAAGAGACCATCTCTTTCAATGTACCACCTCTGTTTAGAGACCACCTCTTTCAATGTACCACCTCTGTTTAGAGACCACCTCTGTCAAGGTACTACCTCTGTTTAGAGACCACCTCTGTTAAGGTACCACCTCTGTTAAGAGACAACCTCTGTCAAGGTACTACCTCTGTTAAGAGACCATCTTTGTGAAGAAACCTCCATTATCAAGAAAACACCACTGTTTAGGGATCACCACCTTTGTGGGAGACCTCCTCTGATATACTACCATATCTGTTAACGTACTTTGAGCTTTCTCTTGTCCTGAATACAATCTGAAAAGGTGATTAAGAAGAATTAATGGGTCAACTTATGGATATTAATTTCTAATGCTACAGAGGGACTGGACAACAAATTTGTTCCAATCAACAAGGAGACTGTGATCACTGTGGACGCCTCACAGGCAGGAGACGGTAAGGTCACCTGTCGCATCCGCAGCCAAAGTGGAAATGACATTGACATTGACATCGTGGAGAATCCTGATGGTACTTTCAGCCTTCTATTTACCCCTCAAGTCGCTGGTGCCTACACAATCAACATCAAGTTTGGTGGTCAGCCCATCCCAGGTGGTGATTACAAAATCGAGGTAAGAGGCATGATGGGTAATTTGTTTAGATTTTTAAATGTGTTGATCAATTATTTTTCGAGGAAAATGGCTTTAAAAACTACAGTTTTATTTTGTTGTAAAGAATGCTCATTTATTTGAAGGTTTTGTTAATCAATTTGATTGTGAAGTTTTCAACTGTTGTTATTATTATTATTTTTTTCAAAATTTTATTTTGCTTATTACGGTGCTGTAACTTATGTTTTGTTATTTTGTCTTGAGTGTCTGTCAGCATGATTTTAGTGGGATAATGCTTTGCACAAGTTTTACCCAAATTAGAAGTCCTGTGTTGCTGATCTAGCTATCATTAATCTTCACATTATACAGATATAGATAGCTTTGCCTTGTAATCTTACTGCTATTTTGCTGATACGTTATCTGGATCACTGAATTGTCTTTTTAATTTGAAAAAAAGATTTTAAAGTCCATATTTTTCAGTCAGTGACCGACAATTTCATCCCCTAGAAAGTCCATCTATTTTGGCCCCTTTTTCATACTATATAAGGTTATTTCTGTTTGAAACTTGTGCAGAAAATATTCCTAACTACACATGATTTCTGTGATAGTAATACAAAGTTTAGATGCATGTTTTCGCTGTAAATATATTTATGTTGGAATGATGGATGTTAGTTGTAGCTTGTCATGCACTCTGATGTCTGTAGCATGCGTCGCAGTTAAACTGCAAACAACACTGCGGTTGTCTGGGGCGAATTTTCCAGTGATTATTACGAGTCAAAGTGTTTCTGATAGATAGCGGTAGATAGCGCATGGCAGGGGGAGCCACTGCAGTGTTGGATATTGTCAGCGGTTATTTATCACGTTCAGAAGGAAAGTGTCAAGATGTTTATGTTATTCTGTTCATTAAATAAGAAAAGATCAACAAATTTGTCTGTGTTGGTGTTGATGGTTAATGTTATGGCTGTAGATTTGGTGAGGGCACAAGAGTGTAAGAAAATAATGAGAACTCTTTTGTCGTGGAGGTATGTTTGTGTTGTTGTTTTGATGGTAGCATACGCAGAATTCCATTTTCACTCCTACACAAATCTTAGTCTGTCAGATGTCATCAGTCTTACTCTGTTCACCTTCATCTTTGTGTCTGAGTAACAGAAAACAGGATTGATTTGTAATTGGCTGGAATCCTGTGGTCAGACATACAGACTACTACAATACATAGCTACAGAACAGATTGGGTCCAGTCTGTATTTAGCACAACTAGGAAGTTTCTGCATTGAAGTGCCAGATAAAACATCATCGTTGATGTTATCAGCTATTTGTCTGGTTGGGAGGAAAGTTCCTCATTCACTATGTCGATACTCTGTCTTCTACCGAGTATTGCTACTGGGTGTATTACAGTAGATTTGAATCCTATGTCAAGGTTACTGGTTACATATAAGATGGAGAGTGTTACAAACACTCTGGCTACAAACGAGAGTGCTAGTGATTAGAATTCTCTTCTCTTGATTAAATCTTGTCTAGCCTTTCTCTTGGATTTACCTGTTTGTTGATTTAATCATTTCATTGTGAGAAGGATGGGCTAGTTCCAGTGTTTTTATTCTGTTCAAAAAGACACATAATGAGGGAGGTAGGAGGTGAAGGATTTTTCTTTATGGGTATGAATGTTGAAACAATAGCCGTATTGAACTCTTGGTGGAAAAAAACAGTTTAGCTCAGCATTTTTACACAAAGAAAGCCATTTACAAGTAGCTGTTAATGCATTTTTTCTTTTACAAAATTCTAACCTGACCTTGGTTTATGTCTTTTTTTTAATTGATTTTCTTTTGAAGTAACATGTGTACCTGATTATACAAAGGTGTAGTTTTTCTATAGTGATATATGATCTCGCAGCATAAAGGCTTATGCAGCTTCCTGCATTCCTGTTAACCAGATCCTGAGTGAGTTACGCTTAAAGTAAAGGGATGAATTCACATCCGATACAGAGAGCATTATATAATCACTGGAAGTACCCAATGATTTACCACTGTCTAGTCACATGTTCTCTTCAGTACCTGCATATTTCATCAAAACTATTTGTAAAACTTCAGGTTAGGAGTCAAGTTTTATCAACATTTTGACAATAAGGATAACTTGATTGATCAAAAGTTCTAAATTTTAGCTTTGTAAAATTAAAAAGAAACCTAGTCCATATGCTCAAGAACATAAACTTTGAAAGAAAATTGTGCTGTTTTCCAAGTACTTGCTTGATAATCAAAGGAAAACTTATATATAAGTAATTTTTCAGATAAAACAATTTAATATTTTAATACACCATTTCAAAATCAAACAGTTTAATAAGGATGAATAAATGTATTTGTTAATTATTTTGAAAACTGTACTGGCTTGACATATTCTGATGTAACCATCAATTTTCTGCAGTTGTTACTCAAAGAAAGTATTTGTAGTTGTTTTAAAGTTGGTTGAATTGCTATGAAATTTGTTGCCCCGGTAACAAAATGGCTATAAATGCCAGCAGTTTAGAGTAAATATCTGTTTTACATTTATTGTATATTTATGCCTAAACATCACTCTTGGATTTTCACTTTATTTTCACTCATTGATGAGAATTTGCTCAGGGTTTTTGAGTCCATTTTCATTCATTGCAGAATATAAGGAGTTTAGTATGTAAAATATTGGAAAGTGTAAGTGGTGCTTGTGTCATTTTCAAGGGGCAATAACTCTTCAAATTTGCGTATGTTTGTATTACAATTGAATTGTGTGGGAAATCCAGGGTTCTCAGATGGTATTACCGTCTAGATTATATTTGCGGTCTGGTCCATTGCAAATTAAAAGGGGCAGGGAAAAATGATGATTATCATAGTTCATTCATTTTCCATATTAAATATGGTTGACTGTTGCCTTAAACTGTTTCTTCATAAAATTTTGGTCTTAAAATGTTTTGCTTTAATAACGATATTCAGGGAAGATAAAGCTTTGCCTGAAAAAAAGTTTTCCTAAAAGTCATGATGATGAATTGGTAAAACTTTCCTAAAAACAATTGTCTTTCAAATTCAGAGCATTTCTGGGTCTGTTTAATTCTAAAATTACGTGAAGGAATTGTGAAGCACTTCTTTGTCTGAAACTACTTTCAGATAAATAAGGATTTGTAAAACACATTTTGGTAGAAAACGCATTAAGAGTAAAATACATAAAAACATACCAAGTTTATGTTTAACAGCGACACTTGGCACCAGTTGTGATACTGAGAAGCGGGGGGCCATCTATTATATTGTATCGAGAATTCTTGTCCAAGTTAGAGCTAGTTGTTCTATTTTTATACAACCTAGATCAATACCCCCACAAGTCTGCCGTTTGACTGAGGTCCAAACAATTTCTGAAGTTTGGGTACATGCCTCTATTTTCTGATAGATTCCAGACATTCTTCTCGCAAATTCTTAGGTATGGTTGGTAAATAGAAGGCACTTTCACTCAGCTCGAGCGGTAATCTTGGAAAACTCTCTTCTTCTACAGTAATTAACCTTTGAATGTTGTTGAACCGTTTTTTACTGGGAACATGTACAAGTGAAACAAAAATCAATGTCACTTGTATGTTTAACATACCAAACTTAAGTTTACTACTTACCTTACTTACAGAGTATATATATTAGAAGATGGGTGGATTTTAAAAATTCCAAAATAATGCAATATGATTAATTATAAAGGAATTTGTTTTAATATTGGTCTTGAAAAAGAAAAGTTGACACAATTTATACAAATATTAAATAGAAATTTTTTTTTATTCTTTTCCTTTTGTGGTAGACATGGTTACAGAATGTTTGTATCTGAAATTGCTTTGGGAAACCAACATCTATTTGTTTGATCAACCAAAGCAACTTGGAAGTTGATTAAAGGATCAATAACTCTCTGAAATATCATTCAATCGTGCAGATCTGTGGAGAAACAATTTTTTAACCTTGCTGTATTTTTCCTTTAAAGACAATGATGTTAGATGTTTGGGGGAAATTTCATCATGTGTTTGTAGAGATATGGGAACAGCTGTTTCAGATGGTTTGGTAAAGGGTAGGTGTGAACATCGCCTCAGCGTTTAAATTACATGTCAATATGGTGAGATAGATGGTTGGGGAGAAAAAATGTAATGGAAAATGGAGGGAAAACATACAGCTTTGATTGGTTTGAATCATCTTTACCACAGGAACAAAGACATTGACTTCCTGTTACTGATGAGGGCAAGCTGACTTTATTTTACTAGAGGAATATTTCTCTGGAAATAAATCAGTATTTGGAGAATTCCCGATTAAGATAATCTTTGGTTGTTTACTAAAAGTTTAGTGATTTTTATAAAAAAAAAAATATCTTTATTATTCAAGAAGTAGTTTTACAGTGGGAGCTAGATGGAAGTTACTAATTTTTTTGAGAACTCATAGTAAATAGTGAATGTTCATGGTGAAATTTTTTTAGTAGAATTAACGTTATAAAGGCCTTTTCATTGTCTTGTAATAAGCCCACCCTGTTATGTAAGAAGTAAATGAGTTTCCGGATACAACATTGGTTAAATTTTCAATAAATAATTCACATGCTATCAGTTTCCACCATCAAACATCTTGGACACATTATAGTTAACCTACTGCATTACAGCATTTTGGTTTAATTTGTTAACTGTTAAAGCATTTTCAGAAAAAAAATTCTGTATCCAACTTATTGGTGAAGCTGATTCTGGTTAGTTCTGTACAGATTTAGAAAAGATTATCATAAAAAGCCCTCTTCGTTTAAAGCCATAACCTTCAAACACTAGAGGAAGTACCATATTTTTTTTCTTGACATCGGAGGAAATTAACAGAAAAAAAAGGTGATATTGCAATAAAAATGTCAAAAGATAAAATATGTGACTATGTGTTTTCTGTGTCAATTTATTTTTCCTTAAATCTGTAGTTAGAAAAAAAAAACATAACTGTTTTTATTTTATGAGGGAAGGTTGGAGAAGTTTGTCTTCAGAAAGCATTATAATCTAATTGCAATGGTTCCTAAAT